TTCTGGGACAATTTTCTGCTTTTCAGGTGTGGTTTTATTGCAAAAATAAATTGATTTTTTAAAAAAATACGCCTAGTAGATGTCGGTTAGTGCACTGTCGGACGTCTATAGACGTCATGTAGTGCACAAACGGACGTCCATCCCTAGTCCTACCACAAAACAATTCAGGCAGGTGGGCGTCGGGGGATACACCTCGGACGTTTGTGTAGACGTCGGGGGAGGGAGGAGACAGACGTCTCTGGGGACGTCAGACGGGCACGTGGGGACGTCTATATGGACGTCCGAGGGTGTACGCCGGATGTCTGGATAGGCGTCGGGCCTGACACATCGGACGTCTATATAGACGTCCGATGTGGAACCCCCGACGTCTGAGTAACGTCACCCACAATGACGTCGGGGGAGGTCGGACGTCAAAAGGCCAAAAGAACGGACGTCTAAAGCCTTTTCTGCACTAGTGTATGTAATAAAAATGTATAAGAGAAACGACTTGTGACGTTGATAGGAACACAGAGTTGAAAAGAGACAAAATAGTAATATTTTTTTATTGTATAGACTATATAGAACACAAAGAATAGGCGAGCAGTCTCTCCCCTTCACAAAGAGGTAAAGCTTAATCTATAAGATTATCAAAACGTTCCCTGACACAAGAGTTTCCTGTCTTCTTATAAAGGCCCCCCAACCAACTAACCAAATTAACAACTAATTCCTAAATTGTTTCCTCTCTCCTTCACCTATTACCCATTATAACCTATCATATTATATCCTATGAGACGTACCTTGAAATTTTGCTGATAGATCTGCTACGTAATCCCTGTTCTCCTTCTTCAGATTGTTTGGACTGTCCTTAACATAAACAGAGTAGTAAAAGTTTATTCCAAAGAAATCGAGTGAGCCCTTCACTAGATTTGATTCCTTTTGAGTGAAGGAAGGAAGCCTTGAGCCAGCATTCCTTTTCATTATATCCGGGTAATCTCCAAATATAAAGGGATTCATAAACCTGCGCTCACAAATCATAACAAAACCAACTGTATAATGTATAAAACATTGAGATATAAAACCATTCATGAATCTCATAAATGGTACAAAACCAGTATATCAGTACATGAACAATTTATAAACTCCACTGTTAGAGTATACCTACAAAGTTTCACAGTGCCTAGAGATCAAAGTGTCACAAGCAATAGACTTGAGGTGGGAAATAAACAAAGAGGTTTAAGAGTTTATTCCTTGTCGCGTCACATTTTTGTGATATTTGACTTGCAAGGTGTGTGTATTTTCACGATTTAATATTAAAGAACTCTTATATGAAGGGGCATGTTATAGATACATAAATCCTGTTTCTTCACCTGAGTTAAATTATTTTTGAAATGTTTCTCCTTTGCGATTCCAAGATGCAAATTTGTGAATGTCAACAGGTATTGGAAAGAGATACCATGCCTGGATTGTTACTTACCACCCAATGAAGAAGTCTTGGACCCTTTGAACGGCCATTAAATCTTCAGTAGAATTTGTTTGAGGAAGAAAACCGGGAAGAAGGTGACTAAACCCAATTAAGCCATGCTGCATGCCCTGCATCCAAAATAAATTGTTTACTGAATAAATTAAACTATCTTATCACCATTTCCAAAAGACATCATCATGATGACCTTTCCTTCTATCCTTTCCTGATTATGGTTTAAAATGCAAATATAAGGCCTAACGAATGACATAGTAGAGTGGCTTGAATGGGCCATTTGATACATAATTTTTACCTGGTATTTCTTCTTATATACCCTAGCAGCTGAAGCATGTGCTAACAACATATGATGGGCAGCCAAATATGGCTCCGTTGAGGAATTTCCTCTGGAACATTTCATTATAAGGTTAGAAGAACACCTCTGAGGTGGTGCCAATCCTACATCATAGCCCATTAGTATATTCATATTGGCCTCATTCACAGTAGTCCAATACTTAACTCTGTCTCCAAATTCTCTAAAGCACACTTCTGCGTATTTTGTGAAGTCTTTCCTACAAACATACATATATAAATATGGTATACCATTTCTCAATATCATGCGAGATTTAATTTGCACAATTTCTATCTAGGACAAGACTGTAACACGACTAGAGACTTCAAGTTTGGGAACCATACACAATTTTTCGACTAACCCATCCTCCATATTCATCCTCAAGTGCTTGTGGCAGGTCCCAATGGTGTAATGTAACATGTGCTTCTATTCCTACATTAAGATAATCATAGATCAAAAATACATTTACTAGATAACTTGGAATAACCTCTTACGTGATAATCAAATTTAAAATCTAGTCTTCACAAGAACCATTGCCGATCAATTCATCAATAAGGTTGTTGTAAAACTGTAGTCCCTTGGGATTCACTTGTCCTCTTCCATCTGGTAATACATGAAAACAACATGGTCAGAACATGGAAATAATAATGTTTTGATTTTAGAGAGACTGATTGCCCCCAAATTAAACCAAGTGCGTGTATCTAATACGACTTAGTTTCTCACATTTTATTTTAGACAGTAGTTTAAGAGTAGGCTGACAACAGTTTGATGATCACCTGGAATAAGCCTTGACCATGATATGGAAAATCTGTATCCTTCTAAGCCCATGTCGGCCATGAGCTTAACATCTTCCTTCAGGAAAACCAAAGCTGGATATTAACTCAAAAAAAACTATGAAGTCTTTTTAGTTGAACAAGAATTTAAAGCAAGTGGATCATAAAAGATCTGCATCTTTTGTGTATATACAACAATTTCTTTTAGTTCTTTGTATATATATGCTTACACAGCAGGGTCACTAACCTTATATTTGTGATAATGATCACATGCAACATCTCCATCACCAGCATACAAATTCCCTGAAAAAATCTTTGCATTAAATTTCGAGAAAAAGATAATAGCAATAAAGCTTAAAAATAGATTTAATATGTGAAAAGAAATAAAGCATAGTGTAGATATGAGAGTAGTGAGTAGAGGGCAGTACCATTTCCAGCATGAGAGAAGGTGTCCCATATGCTTGGCTTCCTGCCATCTTCATTTGCTGCACCTTCAACCTTTCACATAACGCCAATCACAAATTCAGCAAAGAATCACAAAAGTAGGACAGTGAAGAGTGTGAAAAACAGAGAGGGAGGGAGACAGAAGAACCTGGTAAGCCGAGGTTGATGCACCAAACACGAAGTCACGAGGGAACTGGTCTCTGCTTAAGGCATGAGCACCAGGGTGATCTATCAGAAGCACTAATTCTACAACTGCAAAAACCTTCAACATGAACCTCATACTCTCTGCTTTTCTTGTTAATGGCGTCATCTGTTTTAATGTTTTGACTATGAAACACGAATGACCGCTTTCTTGTGATTCAGCGTCTATTTGTTGTCTTTTTATTTATTTGTTCTGATTCTTATGAGTTTGTCCGAAGCCATATCTGCCCACACCCATCTACCGCTGTATCTTTATGTATGTGAAAATGCTGCTGAAGTTTTCTTGCAGAAAAAAAGAAAAAAAATTATATATATAAAATACACTTTCTTTCCTTTCCAAGAGAAAAAAGTACTACAAAACAAACAAACTCAACTGTGGGTATGATTTCAGATGTAACATTGATATTTTCTCACGGATTATTGTAGCAACCGGTAATTATGAAACATCTTTTGAAAAATTAAAGTTGATATGACATTAGGTAATAAAGAGTAACAAGAAATCCCTGTGTGCGTTACTCCTGGAATATGTGGAATCCCTCTTATACTCACAGTAACTACGGAAATCGTTTATGCTCGATGTAACTCGAATGGCTGGGATGGGACACGGTTATATTTTTATAAGTGAGATTAGTTTTGTTATCTTATTTTAAAATATTATATTTACTAAAACTTAAATTAAAATTGAAAAATTAAAAATTAAATTTTTTATAAGAAAATCTGAATAATTTAATTGATATATATTAAAAGGGGTTTGCTAATTTAACTAAGGAGTTTGTTTAGTTGATATATTTTATCCAACTGTACTAAGTTTTAGGTTAGAAAAAAGTCTCTATTAAAAAAATAACTTTAAATCTAAGGGTATTTTAACAATTTTAAAATTTAATTTAAAATTAAAAAATTAAAAGATAGTTATTTATCATTTTGATTGATCCATGTGTATGAGTAGTTATTATTTTTTATTTTAGAAAACAACTACCTTTTATTTTATTTTTTATTTTAAAAAACAATTATCTTTTATTTTATTTTTTATTTTAAAAAACAATTAACTTTTATAAAAAAAAATATATAATAAAAGATAATAATTTACTACCATTTATATTTTTATTTTAAATTAAATTTTAAAATCATTAAATACTCTTGAATTTAAAGTTAGTTCTTTTTTAATAAGGACTTTTTCGTAATTAAAACTTGGTATATTTTGTTAAAATATACTAACTAAAAAACTCCTTATGTAAATTAGCAAATCCATACTAAAATTATTAAAAATTTATATTATCACTAAATTAAAAAGTGTAATATAAAATATATAAATTTATATTTTTAAAATTTTGATATGAAAAGCAAAAAAAATACAATAAACGTAAATTTATTAATTTATTATTATATTCATATGTTGTTTAAATATAAGTAAAAATGTCAATAAATAAGAAAATATTATTATTATTTTATTAACAAAATAAAAGGTTTTATGTAAAATTCGTATAAAATAATTTTTATTTTATTTTATTTTATTACTTGCGTATGTGTGTGAAGGAAGTGTTAAGGGAGGGAATAAAAATAAATTGATATTAATTTTAATTTTAATTTTTGAAAATATTTAAAAAAGATTTAAGTATAGTTGTTTGCAAGAACTTGATATAGTGGTCAATATATGTTAAATTCCAGAAAATGGTATTTTAGAAGTGATGATAGTCTAAATATAGTGAGACTCGGTTATTTTAATATTAAATAGTTTATTTAAAAATAATTTTGTTATAAACGAGTTTCATTATTTTAAAACGTATCATCTTTTTAGAAATCACTTTTTTAGAGTTCTATACCTTATCTCTAAGAGTTATAATTCTTGAATCATTTATTTGACGATCAGGAGGTGTCTAGGCGATCCTTATGACAAATACTACCTATCTAATTAATCAATTTGTTGTTTAGAGCTAGTAAGTTTTCATTCCTTTTCTTGGTATTTTCTTGATCCTTGATCATGCAAAGAGAAACTGTTTTGCATGTATCAATTTATCTTCTTTCTTGGTTGTTGGTTGATTTAGAGTTTTAAAGACTCTATTCGTTTCAGAATTGGTGTTTCGTTTTAGAATTGGTGTTTTGTAGGTTCGTTTAGAAATCTCTTGTGTTGCAAGCAATCGGTGGAGTGTTTTGAGAAGTTGGGGCAATTGGTTTAGAGGTAAGAGAAGCTAGAGTTTTCTTTAATTGATGTTTATGGTGTAAATTTGATGTTCTATATGAGTATTAAATTTTTTGGGTGAGAATTCTTTGAAGTGCTAGTTGTAACCAAGTTAATTGAGTGTTTTTGTGTATGTGGTGATAAAATGCTGTTGAAAAGTGTACGAGTTGATTATTTGACCTGAAATTGAATGTTAAGGTGTTACAATTATGTTTGGAATAGGTGTTGTAAGGTTTATTGAGTAATAAAACTTAGAAGTTTTGGTAGTGTTTTGAAGGAAAAGATGAGGCTTTAGGTAGTAAAGTTGTGAGATATGGATGGTAACTTGGTCTGTTAATCTGCTCAGCATTAATCAATTGTGTGATAAAGGGCTAAAAATAACTTTTGAACCAAAATATTGTTTAATTAGAAATGGTTCTACCGATGAGTTATTATTAATAGAAAAAAGGTACAACAAAATTTACATAATCGATTTCAGACAAACCTCCTTCAAATTTATTGTTTTCCTGATGTCCAAAAGAAGATGATGCATGGTTATGGCACAAGAGACTGACTCATACTAACATGGGTCAATTGAACAAGCTAGTGTCTAAAGATCTTGTCATTGGTCTTTCTATTAACATGAAATGAGAGTTTATCATGCTGAAGCATTTCCAGCAACCAAACTCTGCCCAAAAGTCACTCTACTTGAGCTTTCCCTCCTCCACTTAGCTTTCTTCCAGTGAAGGCTGCCTGAGCTAATTTACCCACTTTACCTTAAGCTCTTCTTCCACCATCAACAACCACTTTTTCACCTCTGCACATTACTGTTAAACCCTAAGCACCTCCTCTGCTACCACTGATTTCATTCTTCATTTCCGCTGCCAAACTTTGGTTTCCATCTTCCGCTACATTTAACCCATCACACTTGCTGGAGCATACTCATCACAAACCATGTTTTTATACCTTGGCCTCCTCGTTGTTCTCCAATTTTTCATAACCATTCAGTTCATGAGAGTTCTCTTGAGCTCCCGAGTCCATTTGTTGAATCATTTTTCACAACTATTGGTTGCTCCAAGAAAGCCTGAAATTGCATACTAAATATCATGGTTTACAGCATCTTACGACATTATTCCTGCCCTTACTGAAACCATGTTCTTTTACTAGACACAACATATGAAAATAATCTCATCAATATTAGGTATCTCTAAGGTGTTTGCTCGAAATAAAAACATTATGTATATTATAGACTAATGTAACATACATCATGTTTAAAACATTTTCTAAGGATTCAAAAACATTTCATATCATGTCAAAATTTGTTTGTCCATGATATTGCGACTTGTCACATGTAACTTTATGTATGAACTTTGCTTTCTTTAGGTGTTCCCTCAATTTTGTTGATGAAATAATGTATTGATAGTTGGTATTGATGAGTAGATGCTTATCAAAGTGAAGTATATGAAATTGTTTCTCATGATATCTCATTATTCTGAGTTGTGCATGCTCCAATATTTCTTAGTAGTTTTGCATCCTATAGAAGAAACATGAAAGATTTTGATGGAAAGTGTATCGAAGAACCTCCTCCACATGAGCCTATAGTTGCATAAGGTAATGACTGTGAAATTTCTATAGGAAACTGGACTTGTTTAGCTTTGACATGACAAATTATTATGTTATATATCACATAATAAAGACAATATATGAAACGCAGGAAGCACCTTTGAAAGCTTATTTGAAAACATATTTCAAAACAGGTGAAAAAAGAGCAGTATGCCATATTTTGTAATTAATACTGAAAACACAAAAGAAAGTGGAAATATTTTATCAAACCAAACATATCTTAGTTGTGTCATGTTAATGTGAATTTCGCCAAGTCACTTAAGTTGTTGAATTAAGTAATTAGCATGCATGGACAAGATTTTTCTATTAACAAGAAAAGTTAAACGAGGCAACCTGTGGATCAATTTTCAATATTGGATCACACAACTATTCGGTAGTTGTTTTTGTGAAAGAATACTCTGTTATTAATAGTGCAAGCCACAATTATACACTTTATATAATGAATATATTTCTCAGTTTCTTACTTTCACACGATCTTCATACATGCAGATGGAACAACGCACAACTTGAATGAATACATTTACATATCTGTTGGTGATGCTATTACCGATATTACTATTAGTGCAGTCAAAGATATAAATTTTACCCAGAAAAATGTTGTGGTGATATTAATTTAGAGACGGTTAAAATTCACTTTAATAATTATAATTATGAATATAATAGATTGACGTTATAATACACTCTAAATTTTAACACAGTTAATTAACTGAAAAAAAAATGACGGTTTAAATTGCCACTAAATAACATGTTACATTTGAATATGGTGATAGTGAAGACTTGCCTAGACTGGCACCAAAGCCATTAACTCCTTCTCGTAGATCGATTTACTTAAGGTGTTCTCCGACAAGGCCTTACTGTAGAAGGCGATGGGACTCCTGTTT